ACTTTTCAAAACAAAGAACTGTCTATTTTTTTTAATTGTTTGAAGAGCGTTAAACCCAGCTTCATGTAATTATTGACAAAGCATGAAGCTTTAAATCTGATGACTCCAATATACGTGTGCAGTAAAATGCCATGCATGACAACTGAAAAGTAAATCCGCTTTATACAGGTAAGTTTGCATAATATTGCAACCTATGGATATTCCTTTAGGGATCACAACCTTAACTAGTGAATTTGTTCCCTGCTACTCCTGTCTATCTCCCCAGCTTATCTAGTTTTTCTTGTTTTATGGGCACACTTCCAAACAAAACACTTGGTTGAAGTTACCTATTTTTATTTTCTAAGTATAAAGGTGGGGCTTAGAAGAACTCTATCTCTGCAGCATGTTAAATTTTCATTAAAATATTTTAAATCAAAACAATGTAAAAGCAAAAGAAAACCAAGTGGAGCCTGTAAAGTACCAATGGAGTTGTCAGTGGGCACATTCATAGAAGAGTATTTCCAAGGAAAAGAATGCACCTTCAGTGGAAAATACAACATGGTATGACTCAAAATAATAAACTAGTCAGAACAACTGATTATCATATTCCTGCACTTATTCCTCAATTTTACTACAGTATATCTTAACCTACAGGATACCATTGCTTCTTCATGTAGCACTAACAGAATTTGTCCTGCTGGTGGGCTTTTCAGACTGTTGGGTTAGTTAGACAATTGATTTAATCAATCAAAGCTAATTTTACATAATTTCATTAACAGGGGATCCTCAGTGACTGAATTATGCTTTTTTGTAGTTCATGTCAAATAGTAGCCCTTCCAAACCTTTAATTATTCTATGCCTTCCTCATAAAAATTGCTCTGACATAGTTGTATAAGTGAGTATAAAGGCAACTAGATTTATCTAATGCCATACTGACAAGTTCATATCTTTAGATTTAATATTATTTCAGTTCAATGCATATAATTAAGTTCCACTGTATTCAACGAAGCTAACTGCTTAGTAAGAATATTTACTGTTAAGCACACAATTACAAAGTAATTAAGATTACAAATCTAGGCATCTTTCCTCAATTGGATTTGCATGGACAGGATGAGAACAGAAATTTCTGTAAGAATAAAAATAGAATAGAAATACTAAGTAACCTGAAGATGCATGATATTTGGATATTTGAACAAGCAAATTATATACCCCACTATGCATTATCTATATCTATGTATGCTTGTGCACCCATATACGCATTTCCTCTCGCATTAAGAGAAATGTGCAGATGCATTTTTCTGGTGACACTCTGGCATACAATACGAGTACCTACAGAAACACAGAAATAGGAAGGTGGGTTAATTGTGTAATAGCAAAGAACACTCCAAGCTGGGGCTCTCCAAATGTGTTAAAACTACCATTCTGAACAGCCATTATCAGCATGCTGGCTGGGAATAACGGGGATTGTAGTCTGAGACGTCGAAAAGGCATTAGCTTTAGGAGGCTGGGCAAATGGAAACAAATGACAAGACCATGCACTGAGAAGACGAGTGACACGAAAAGAGAGATGTCCGTGCACCAGACGGGATGTAATACGGAAGGAAATCGAAGGAAATATGGCTGAAAGGCGGAAGAAACACAAGGCAACGAGAGGGCGGTCAAGGGAGCCAGCAGAGCCGGCAGCCGCTCACCTGGCAGCCCTTTTTGTGGTGGAAACCGACCACTACGATGTGTAGCACTGGCCCCCTAGGACAGCCGCCAGTTCGAGAGCAGAGATCGGGATTCCCTCTGGCCCTTCGCTCCATGGAGGAGCCTGCGCCGCGGCCGCCAGACGCCCGACCGGCCGCTCCCCCGCCCCTACAGCAGGAGGCTGTTTACAGCGGGGCCAGCAGCGCTTCCGTATGCAGACGGCGTGAAACCCGTCGCCCGTCAGAAGTTGCAGCTTGGCTATCACTGAGCATGCTCCCGGAGTCCGAGCACGCCCAGTAGCGCCTGTGGAAGTGGTGTGGCTCTCCCTTTGACAGCTGATCCAGACTGGCCGGGTGGCAACGGAAGACGAGGCAGGAGCGGGCGGTGGACTTTAGTGGGCTCGAGGGTGAAAAGCAGCAACTCGTAAACGGGCGGGGGGAATCTTCAAAAGAAGGACTTGAGCAGCAGGGGTTATTTTGCTTGAAAGGGGAGGGTTATTTCAGGACATAGAAGCGCCAGAACGACCCTTGACTGAAGGGAACGTAATGACCGCCTGCAAAAACAGATTGTTACAGGAAGGAGTTTCCTTACCCTATTACCTCAAGTCGGTCTCTCCTGGCAACCAGCGACCAGTGCTTTGTTCTTAAAGGAGCAGAAACTAACTCTGGCCGTTCCACCCCTTATTGGGAACCGATGCAATTCAAAGGTTTGCATTCGTTTACAACCACGACAATGCTATAATACGTTGCCTGCTGAAGGTACAATCTGCAGTTTCTATTTAGTCTTTTATTTTGAGTACTGTATTTCTGTGCCACGGTTCAGAAGCAAAAACGTTCCCCAACGTAGCTTAGATTTCAGTCTAATAATATAATAAAATAAAACACCTACAACTGGCTTAAAATGTCATGCAATCAGGACAATAATCCAGTATTTGATCAGTAGCTTTAACCAATTATCAACAGTAATGAAAGTAAATAAACCATACCTAAAGATAGATTGAAAAAAAGTGCAGGCCCAGTCTAAAATGTATCTTTTTAAAAAATAGTACCAAACGATATTATGTCAGAGCCTCAGAAGCCAATCTGAAGACAAACATATATTGCTATATATATTTAAGATTTATCAGTACTGTAATAAGATTAGGATTACTCAACCACTTGTTTGTATTGGTTTGACTTTAAATAAATGGGAAAAAAGTGCTGCTAGCCTTTCAGAAAACAACTGTAAGTAGCACATATATACTGAAAAGCAGTAATCAAGATTATTTAAATATGAAAATATTGGTTGTTAGTCATGGAGAAAATCTGTGTGGTTGCTAAGAATTGACCAACTTAATGTGATATGCTTACCCATAACTCAACTATGATTTCCTTAGTGAACCAAATTTCCTGTTAACATCCTGAACCATAAATCATTCCCACAATCTTGGGTTTGCTCAACCTTATAGGCTAAAATATGACTGGTGAATTTGCAGCCCATTGTGTCATTGAGCCACTGGAAGAAAATATTCTTAACAAAATGTACATTTCTGTCTACCAGTAATGTACTTAGATGGCTGTTGAAGGAAAATTGTCTTATCTGTAAAAGTATGTTTCCATATATTAGGACATTTGTCTATACTATTTAGACACAAATGGCTTCATTGTGGCTATAATGTCTTTGAAATGCTTCTTTCACAATTCAGGCTGTATTATATCAAATGTTGAATACATTAATATAAACCCACCCCATTGATTTCTAAGCTCACTCACACTGCTTGTGAAAGCCCACCGTGTTGTCCATTGATGCAGGAGCAATAACCACATTTTTCCTAGGTCAGTATGGTAGGACTTGAGGTTCTTTATTTCAGCATTTCTTTGTTATAAATTCTATTGAAACTTAGGAGGGCTGCTGTCAGAAATTTTTGATTTCTTTCACAACATATGCAAATAAGAGCAACTCTAAAAAATAATTTGGAGAATGGGCAGTTGCAATTAGTGACTGGAATTTGAGAAGAAATCTTTAGGGGAAATCTTTTAGGGGAATGTCTGCTGACTCTTAAAATTTGCTGAGGTGCTTGAGCAGGCATATTTTTTCATGCTTTCTTTTAATCCAGGTGCTTTCCTCTTCTCTCTCATCAGGCAAAATGAAGAAGCTGGAATATTTGGTATTTGTCAGATGAAAAATAGGCACAGTTGTTTATTATTATATGAAAGAGCAAAATCTGATAGGTGAACAAATATATTCCACTGTTATTTATTAGATTTGTACACCAGGGAGTCATTCAGATTCTCTATTTTTGTAATGAAAAATTGCAAATATTTTTAGCATTTTCTTTAAAGCATTTCTACTCCAATCTTAAGTCAGAAAAGCTTCCAGAGCAGCCTATAGAACAATTGTCTTTCAAGTGCAGTCTTTAGGCGTACCATCCAGATGACAGGTGCAGAGAGAGCCACATGGGGAGGAAGAGAAAAAAGCAAATTTAAAACAACCAGGTGAGATAGAAATACATTAGGCAGCATGGTGCAAATGCCTCAGAAAGAAGATGCTAGAAGGGCAGCAGTGGCTCAACTTGGGCATATTGACAATTCCTCATGAGCAAGCATTACCCATTGTGAAAAAACACCAAAACTTTCTTTTAAGCCAGTTTATATAGAACAGCATTCTAGATAGCGTTGGATTCCGATTTCATTAACTCCAGCCAGCAAGCAGTGGTCAGGAATAATATAAATTATAAACTAACACGTTCACTCTCTTGGGATTAGAATATGTCTTGAAATTGCACTTCTCCAGCGTAGTCAATAATATAAACACACCCGCCAGATTATTATTTTTTCCAGCACTTTTAGATTTGGGCCAGCAGCCATTTTCTATCACAGCTTTCGGTCCTGGACTATTTGGACAGAACATAAATTGCGAATTGGCGATCATATAAATTGGCTCATAAATAAATGTGCAAACGCCTTTTTGCTAGTCCTCAAACATCAGGCATAAAAAGAATGATTCCTTCCCGCGATGTAAGTTTCATCTATATTTAAAGCCTGACATCTTTTATATTAGGAAATGGATACTGACAGCTGTTCAAACAGTTACTGGCGGGATCTCCCGTACCTTTGCTTCGCGCTGGAAGTTCGATTACTCCGTTCTTGACTTTTAGTGTCTGTTTAACTGGAAGTGTCTCTCGCGTCCCACCAATAGCCTCGCAGCAGCGCCAATAACTCGAAGTGGAGTCGATTGATTGGGTCTTTTTGAAGAATGGCGGCCAATGCGACTACCAACCCGTCCCAGCTTTTGCCGCTTGGTAACTAAAGCCCTGCTCGCGTGTGAGGGTGGCGCGGTGGGACGGCGTACAAATCGGAGAGCTCGGCTGGGGTTGCCGGAGTGGCGTTTGCGAATGGCAGAGAGTATAGAAAAGGAGTCCAGCCTGTGATATGCGAGCAAAAGCAGAGGGGCGCTGCATTCGTGGGCGTGTGTTCCCTCCATAATCGGATCCGGCCTTCCGTAACTCCCGTCAATGTGGCTAATGCTTGGAGTTCTGACTGTTGTCGGCCCAACGCGCCCGGGGGGCACCAAGTTGGGGAAGGCTGGTGAAATTGAAGTTGGCCCTAAGAAAGCAGCTGAACGAAGTAGAAATATATTTGGATTATCTCAGGCCGCTGTTGGGATGGGATGACCGCTTTCTCTCTCTCTCTGGTGGGATGTATTGGGAAAGGGAAAAACTGCATAGATAAGAAGAATCGTTCTCCCAGCCTGCTGTTTTTATTCTAAGGTTTGAGGCAAAATGAGGCTCAGGGCCCTCTAGCAAGAGAGGGTAGTGTTCTATTATAGGTGACAGTTAATTGCTTTTCACCCCACAGGCACACTGTAAAGTTTTGAAAGCAAGTTTCAAGGATACAGGAGCATTTTACAAATATAAAATATACTTTATATTATAAACATATATGTTGAAGTGTTGTAAAAATATAATAAAAAGCCACCCAGTTGGGTGGCATATAAGTTTAATTTGTTATTATTATTATTCCTGAACTTGTGCTTGAAATTATGAGTTTGGTTCTTGCTTCTCATTCAGCTATGTATATAGGTTGTCAGACAGAAACTTCCAAAATCTCTTGGTATTGGCCATAGTGGCTTGAACTCATATAAGTCTTCCTTGTGTGAGGAAGACAAGCTTTGAAAGAATAATTGGAGCAAGGGTGGGAATTGTGTTGTTCAGTTGCATAGTATTGTTTAACATCTTTCTGTACCTGAGTAGATTTTAAGATGGATAGGGTGGGTAGGGAGAATAGGGTGTATTCACATGCTTTCTGTGTTGTAACAATGTACCATTTTAAATCAGGAATTGAAACAGGGAAGCTGGATGATATCACTGGCTAGAGCTAAAGTCACAACCCCATTATACGGTCACATTCATCCTGCTCCCATAAATTAAGCTGCCTAGAGCATTTTGAAGGAGATCTTCCCTGAGAACCATCTTGGGCAATCCTTTGTCTTTTTCTGTTGGGAAAAACATAAATTAACTGAAGTTCTAGATAGCTGATGCCTGAGGCACTGGTCCTTTGACAGCCAGCTTTTCTCAGCCTTTGCTTTTCTCAAAAGGGAAACAGAGTAAAACACCACAAACATACTGCTTCAAGACATACTGGCTCCCCAGTGGAGGAATGGTAAGGAAGGAAAGAAGCCTTGCTTGTGGGCCCATGGTCTGGATGGAAAGGCCTGATGGTTTATAGGCTGGCTGTTCTCATCTCTTTTCTAAAAGTAAGGGTGGGCAATCTCTTTGTTCCTAATGGCATCATCCCCAGTGGGTAGGTCCCTAGGTGTATAGGACTGTCCCTGGCCCATTGTCATTCATTTATACATGCTGCCTCCTTTCCCCTCTCTGTTTACATACACTTACCCACACAAACACATACATGGAGGAAAAGATTAATTCTTCCAAACCACAGTTCCCCAAACAAAATTGTCTTCCTCACATAGCTGTAAATGGTTTTTCAGTAGACTAGTTACAGTGCAATTCATGGTTAATGAGGAAGGAATGAAGGTAGGCCATGTGTATCTTGTTGCTCATATTAGAGCATATTAAATACAGAGTTTCATGTATCATTATTATTTTGCTGTAAATCTAATATATGCACATTACAGAATGCACAGAACCCTCATGAAGATCATTCTTATTTAATGCATTTTGCATTTATAGTCTACTTTTACTTTTGAGAGCTCAAAGCAGTCTATATTGTGGGTCTCATTTTTTTTCCCATTGTAGCAACCATAGGAACTAGGCTGGGTTAAGCATGTGATTTTATCTTTGAGCTGTATGTTCAAGTGGGGAGTTAAGTTTGGATCTTGCTATCCTACACTGTAACCATTTCACTGCACTGACATTTTTATTGTGATTTATGGATAGTAAATATTTATAATACAAAAATGTATATAATTAAGAAATGAAACCTTTGATTTTTTTAAAAGAATTCATTCTTTCCCAGACAACCAGAAAATATATCAAGGTATAAGATATAAATTACATTTACATTAAAATTTAATGTAGCAAGGTCTAACAATCTTAAGTGCTATGTTTTGAATGTAGACTATTTTGGAGAAAATATTTGTTTTAAAATATTAACACCTGCTGTTGCAAACCTTTTTCTGTCTAACAGAACTGGTGGACAAGTGTATAGGCTCTCGTATTCACATTGTAATGAAAAGTGATAAAGAAATTGTTGGCACACTCCTAGGATTTGATGATTTTGTCAGTATCCTTTCTTTAATTGTTTGGAAGTTTTTTCCTATTTTTAAAAAATTTTTTCAACTGTTGTTTCTCTGGAAATAAGTTTTTGTAAGTTAAGATGAAGTCTTCAACCTATAAATATCTGTAACTGCATATGCAGATTTTGTGAGAATTCTGTATGTATGATTTGGAAGCTCTACATAGTGATGTTGACAGAGTATACATGATGTCATTCAAGGCCATGACTGAATGCTGTGTATACTGAGCAGCTGTGAGGCTGTCAAGGCCTGTAAGTTAAGCTAACATTGTGATCTTATAAAAACAACTTTAGTCTTTGTTAGAATTTATTCATTTTGTGAATGTAGGAAAATATGTTAATATTTTTGTGGTGACTTAGTGTATTTTCCTTAACAACAAATTCCAGACATGGTATTAGAAGATGTTACTGAATTGTAAGTATTGCTCTTCTGGCTTGCAACCTCAACAGATTTTGTGTCTGATTGTTTTTGGGATCAACAATTGTCTACTCTTGGGCTTTTTCTAAACTTACCCTTTTGATTTCTGTGATACAGTACATTTTGATTTTGCTTGATACAGTACATAAGCTGATAAGCATTCAATATTGTCTGAGAATTATTCTGGACGACATGTTCTAATTATGCTTTCCTTTGTATTTTCAAAAAGTAGTGCATAATACTTTCTGTTTTAGTTTCTGCATTTCAAAGTTTAGATCCATATTTACCAACTACATTCTATTATGTACTTCTCAGCATGTTTATTACAGTGCAAGAAATTTTTAGTGCTGGAAAACTGATCTTGAGGAATATTTTGTCTACAAAGTAGCATGTTAGTTAGAGATTTCCCAGGAACATAAAAATATATTGGGACAACCTTCGACATTACGGGAGATTACAAAGACATTGTAGGCCATGAAATTGGGGAAAGACAATCCATCCAAATTGGATGGATTTCCTGTTGAATGGTATAGACCTTTTATAGACCTGTTGTCACCTATATTGTTTGCAGGGTCAAAGATCTATATGCTATTGCAAATTGAGATAGGGATCTCCCTCCTGGCTTAAATGACACTTTGGGATACTGATTTAAGCAAGCCAATAGTTGAACTAAAATGGAAATTACTGTAAAAATCAAGAGGTTTTCTTTTCACCTCTATTTAAGTATTGCAGTTGTAGGTGTTACATCAGTGGTGTTTAGCCCCTGCTAGATTAGCATACTGTACTACACAGCCATTCTTCAAAACATTAGAGTGGCTGTAGCAAAAAGGGATCATTTTTACCATTCGTGGTAGACATATGATAAAGTGGTACCCTTCTGGCACAATTTTTTTGGTGAAATTAATATAACAAAACAAAGGATCAAATGCTCCCCTGAGCTGTGCTTGTTGCATTTATTTCTACAATCTAATACCTTGCTTAAAAATGAGAAGCTGATCTCTATTTACTTTTGGCAGCAAACTGTTGCTCAATATTGGACACTCCTTGAAAACTTAATTTATTTGTGGGTTAAAAAGCTGTTTCAGCTGCTTTATTAGAAAAAGAATAGTGATAAACATAGGACAATGAACTTCCAGAGGCAAGAATCACACTTTTATAAAGTTTAGGCAGATTATACTCATTATGTTAATCACAACAGGTGCAAACATGTCAACTCTTATATGGAAAATATAAACAACTATTGGACTTTTTTTTTTGCTAATAGTGCCTTTTACTTTTTATTTATTTTCTTGTATTGTATTTATCATAATATTGTTCTCTGTTTAGTTCTTTGTCTTTTTGTATAAACTGCTATTCAATAACAAAATATTAAACAAAAAAAGTTTGGCTGTATCAAACCTGGATGGCAAAGAGGATAATCCTACATACAGTAGAGTCTCGTTTAACCGACCTTCGCTTATCCGACATTCCGTCTTATCCGACACCCCTAAAAAAAACACAACAACGTGCATAAATTGGCGACGAGAAAAGTGTGCCGCTTGTTTGCGAGCATGAGTGTACTCTTTCTTGTTGCTCCTGACGGTGCGGTGCCGCAATGCAAAAATCGATTGCAACAGGTGCAGTGGATCGTTTTTTTTTTTTATTACCGCACTCAATCGTTACTGTGTGATATCCAACATTTTCGCTTATCCGATGTTCTGCCGGCCCGTTTATGTCGGATAAGTGAGACTCTACTGTAACTGGAAAGAAAGTCACTCTCCTGATTTTAAGGAATGTATCCAGGATATGAGTTTGCTATCTATTTTTGCAAAGTCTTTGAGTTCTAAAAATGAGAAGATAGCACAGTACATTGCTATATGATTTAATGATAAGCTTAATGACTTTAAGATATTTATATTTATTATTATTGGCCTAGAAACCAGGAGGCTATGAGTTCTAGGCCTCCCTTATGCATGGACGCTGGCTGGGTGCCTTTGGGCCAGTCCCTCTCTCTCAGCCCAATCCACCTCACAGGGTTGTTTGTGGGGAAAATAGGCAGGAGTATTAGGTATGTTCACCACCTTGAGTTGACCAAAAAAAAAATAAAAAAAGATGGAATACAAATATAATACTAATAATGGTTTCTTACGTTTAGGTTTTTTCCACTGTATAATCGTGATTTAATGTAGACACTCTGTTTTGTATTTCACTATTTTCATGAATACAGTTTTTTAAAAAGTACATACTGCTTCCTCATCAGAAGATTAATTTTAATGAAGGTTTGTTAGGTTACTGTGGAATAATTATTCTCCTATAATGTTTATAACTATACTTTCTATTACGACCTTTTGTATAAAATATAATGGATGATTAATTGAAAAATATACCCAGATTTGTTTAGTAGTATCTTTTAAAAAGGAAAGTGTACTACTAATGCTTCCAATGGACCTATTCTTCTTATCTTATTACAGCTCTCTTGGAACAGTTTCAGCAGGATTGCTTCCCACACTGTTCTGAGAAAGTAAATGCAAGACCATAACTTGCATTGCATATTGTGTTAAGCCAAGCATTTTTTACCAAGTTTAGAAAATAAAATACAATAAGCTAGCTCCTAATAATAGGTCAAACCTATTATTTTACAGACCACAGTGGCTAGGTTCATGTATCACACTAAGCCACAAAGAAATCAAATTATGGCTTACTGCACTGTGTGAACAAGGCTAGGCAGGAGAGGCTGAGTATCTGACAGCAGCATTCAGGGCTTGGGGGATTTTAACATGGGAAGTAGCTGCTTCATTCACTCTTTCCACCTAGATCGAATACATATGATTGTGTGGGATACAGAATACCACATACTGTATTGTAGTAGCTTCCATAAGTTGACATAGTGCAAGAGGGCTTGCATCCAGAGTTAAGGCTGTAATTGTATTAGTTTGGGCTGTTCTTAGGAGAAAAGTACCATTAAATTCAGTATGAGTTATTTTCATGTAAGAATGCAAGGGGCTGCAGTACTGAATGAATAAAACAGTCTTAATAGTTTTCTGTTTTTGTTAATTTATATTCTTTGTTTTAATAATGCTCAACAGTGAAATCACACCTGAAGGACGAAGAATCACAAAGCTAGATCAGATTTTGCTGAATGGAAACAATATAACTATGGTAAATAATTTGTCTTCTGTAGTTTCTTTCTTAAATTATTGCTAATCAGCTCAAACTAGGTGGAAGCCTCATGGAGAATTGTTGTTTTTATTGTCATGAACAACATTTGGAAAATGTAATAATTAGGGAAATGTGATTAGAGTATATTGATGCAATCATCTGGAGTAAGACGGAATGTTGACATTGTTCAGGACAAAAATTGTATTTGGAGTTTTGCCTCACACAGAGAGTATGTGGAAAATTTTCAGTAGGTTTTGGGCTACTATACTGTGTCTTAACTATCAAAAATTGTAAATGAAATAGTTAACATCTAATGTGATGTAATCTGTTTGCTTACATATTTTTATTTTTCCAAATAAAGTTGAGGTGGCACACTCAGAATATTAATACAAATAGAGTAAAGTGGTCAAACTACAGGAGTGTGAGAAGGGAGAACTCTAGGTGACAGCAGTGCTGGCAGGCCAATGGAAAAAAGTGTATAACCTTGTTAGACTGGTTCACAGCTGTTCTAGATTAAATACTTGTACATTTTAACCTTTTCTCTTTCATCTCCCCTCCCCATTCTTTTTTCTCCAAACAGTTGGTTCCTGGAGGAGAAGGACCAGAAGTATAAATAAGTTCATTTGACATCACTGCAAGAATTTTTGTTACATATTATGTGGGAATATCTTTCTGAAATTTGTTGAGTTTCTGTTCTTACATTTCACATTGATATTTAAATGTAACATAGTTTCTTTTCAAGGATAAAGCATCTTTAATAATGGCTTTGTACATTAAACTCATGACTTCGTTGTAAGAAAAACATTTGCTGTTGAAGGCAAGGCAATAAATTTTTTTTTTATGCTGACTGATATGGAGTTTATGTAAGAGCTTGGAGTCAAGTGGAAGTAGTTATTTTGAGCAGTTCTTGAGGCTAGTTCGTGTTTTAAATAATAACAGAAATAATACCATCCAATACATAAAGTAATGAAGCCATGATTCCAAAAGCATATTTGGGATTGGGGATGGGATTATTTTTCTCTTATGGGTCTCTCTTCAATTAATTTTCATGTGCAAAAGATATGGCTATTTTCTCCTTGAATGAAAAGAAAGGTTCTGTTATTTGAAGAAATAATAAATGAAAGGGAGAAATTTTGTTGTCGGGCAGTAGTTTAGAAGACTAGTAAGGCTGTTTTAGAGTCCTCGCTTAGCGACTACAATTGGGACTAGCACCTCCGTTGCTAACCCATGGGGTCGCTGAGTGAAACATCATGTGACCATGATGGACTTACCACATCAATTCCCATTCGGTTGTTAAGTGAGTCACTGTGGGTCGTTAAGCAACACATCACGTGACTGACTTGTGATTTAATGCCGGCTTCTCCATTGACTCTGCTTGGTGGAAGCTGGTTGTGAAGCATGCAAATGGCGATTGCGTGACGGTGGGACACTGCAATGGTCATAAACGCCTGTTAGTTGCAAAGTGCCAGAATGCTGATCATGTGACTATGGGGACACTGCGATGGTCATAAGTGTGAGGACTGGTCATAAAGTTACTTTTTCAGTGTCACTGTAACTTTGAACTGTTGCTAAACAGGGTAGTCATTAAGCAAGGTTTACCTGTACTTGCTTCAGTAAAAAAAAAAAAAAGTGTAATAGGGCTGTCCCAGCCCTTCAAATTTGAAAAGAAAAAGTTGCTTTGGAGCATACGTTGGCCTGCACGTGTTGTCTGTCAGGAACTCTTCAGACCCAAACATATTGTGCTGCAGCTGCATGATCCTGGGAAAAGATGTAGCTGCTTTAAGGGGATTGCTGATACATGGTCTTGAGCACTTTTGCATGCTCTAAAGCACTTTAATATCCAAAGTGCTGTGCAGCATTACTAATTAAGATATTGGAGTTTATATTGTACCACAGACATGGGCAGACTTTCTTGTCATCAAATCGTCATGCCTGCATATGAGGCCTTGCAGTCTCTGTGGCCTTGTCTAGCAACTCCCTGAGTATCCCTCCAAGCACTTATCCTCCCTGACTTTTCTCCCTATTTAAACAGTCATCTGGCATAAATTCATAGTCACATGAATACAAGGAGAGAACTGGTGTGTGGAGAATCTTACCCCTACTTTTCTTGTGCAAGCTATGCTTCTGCAACTCTTCGGGTAAGCATCTGGTAGGCTGTGGGAAGTATTATTTTCATGGGGAGGATGCCACATGTTCATGTGGGATTACTCTTGCTGTGGGCCATCCTCTCCATGACAACTGTACTACCCTAAGCTCATTTAACAGTTGAGCGGCAACTTATTGGAGAATTTTCTGGAAGAATTAGTTCACATATATTGTCTGGGTCAGATTCTGAATGCATTTACCTTACCATCTATAATGGAAATGTCTAAGTAAAACTATATTGTGAGGAAAGGCCACTTTAAGGAAATAATTTATACTTTTAATAGTTTTTCCAAGTTAGACTGCTCTGAAACGGTATCCTGTTTTGAGGGACAAAAGTTTGAAATGATAAAATACAAATCCTTGTTTTAATTACCATTCTTGCATCCAAAGGATTGGATCCAAAATAATGGGAGAAAACTTTTTATCAGTGCAAGGAGATTTTTATGCTTTTGCTTTCTGGGAACCTTTCAAACCAATTTATCTCAAAGGTAGAACATGACACGCTGGAAGAGAGAGGTGTAATTGGATATACATAGGCTGGGTTCACATATCAGACTAAACCGCAATGTAGTTTGGGCTTGGTTTAGTAAGATATGTGAACTTAGCCACTATAGTTTTTAAATAATGTTTTAGGCATTAATGTGATACCTGAATCAGTGTTAAGTGTACAGGTAGTCCTCGTTTAGTGACTACCTTGTTTAGCGATTGTTCACAGTTACGACGATCTGTAAAGGAAAATTGAAGATCATAAGCACAGTTACGGTTTCACTTAGTAACCATTTTGCTTAACGACCAAGTTGCCAGTCCCAACTGTAGTTGCTAAATGAGGATTACTTGTATATGAAATTTACCTTCTGATTCAACCATAGCTGATGTATTGGCTTTCTATAACTCTAAGTGCCCACTAGAGGGAGGCTCTTTGATTTAAAGCAGTAATTGTAGAGGCAAAAAATAGCTTGGATGGGGAACAGATATGGGATGGAATTTTTGCAGTTTTTGTCTTGTTAAAATAAAAACATTTTAAATCCTATGTGAAACATTCCTTGAAACATGTCACATTATGAAAGTAATATTGAGAATTCTTGTTCTATTCTTCCTTTTATGCTTTCTTACAGTGTTTCATTATGTAGATGAAGTCTTTCCTTGGTAATTCTCACATGAAAAAAATGGAGGTCTGTGCAAATTGGAAAAATCACACAGTATTTTTATTGAACTAGGACAATATGTGAAAAGATTATAAATGGTAAACAGTCATATTGTTATTTGGAAAATTCTAATGGGTCTTCTGGATTCTATATTTAATATTAAACTTGCATATTAGCATATAATCTCATTTATTTATTGCTATGGTTCCCATTTATGCTAAATTATGTTTGCAAAATTTTCAAGTGTTTATGCTGAAATTAGCTCAGAATACTAGATCAGTATATTTCGGAGAGAGTGGGAACTAGCAAAAGCAGCATATTTTAATCAAAGGAACTGACATAACTATTTAAAATAGGCATAATAAAAAATATTTTCACTCTGGCTGCAATCCTGTAGTTGCTTACCTGGAAGTAAATCTCACCGATCTCAGTTGAATATACTTTTGAGCAGGCATACTTAAGTAGAGATTCTTAAGAATATCCTAAGAAATAGTTATTTTCTAAATCATTGAATAAGTAATTGGTAACTAATTATCAACTTTTATTTCATTTCTGCAAGGCTTCTTACATTTTTCTTGAGGTTCATTCAAGTAAGGACCCCACTTCCTCACTTCTCCAAAATACACACTTATGTTAAAATTACAATGATACGTTTTAAGCTTTTATCTCTGCCATTCTACCCTAAAAGGTGACAAATGATAATACAAATTCATGGAACTAGGAAACTGCAATCTGTCTAATGCTGTGGACCTTCTAGTAAAATACTTGATGAATAATCTTAGTATCAAAACATCATCATCCAGCAACTGTTTCTGCATGTGTACATAATATATGTGCAGTAGCACTTCACAAGTTACCAAGCAACTGCACATACCAGATGCATTGGGAATTACAAAGCAGCTGATCAAATACTTTCAACCAGTGGAAAAGTACAGATTCACTTCTGATCTTCATTTTTTTCCTTAACGTGGCTGATATTTTCTAATTAGTGGCCTCTGGCCTAAAAATTGCCGTTCTACTAGATGTTTTATTTGTACATGCTAGGGTTTTAGTAGGGAAAATTTGTGTCTTAACATCTTTAACATCTGAAAGTAGAATATTATATTTAATTTGGTATAATAGTAGGATAAGGAATGTGGGCATTGCTTGTTATATATGGTTTCACTTGAATCACCAATCACTACTTGTTCATGAGTAAATCATTTTGGCTAGATTAATAGTGCAGTGCTATACATACTGTTCACAGGTGAATGGAGGGTAGTAGAGGCAGATTTGGCAAAGAAGTCGTCTTAAAAAGCATTTGGGAGGACATGTTAACATCAGAGAGAATTCGGGGAAGGAAAAGCCCAGTCATGAAGGTGATAGTGGACAGCTAAAGATACTCCGATAGCTAGAATTGACTTACACAGTTCTAATGGCTGTTGAACAAAGCCTGCTGATCTTAATCTAGAAAAAGTGGGTAGTCATCTTAAATAGATTGAACATTCTTGTTCTGCTGATGGCTTCTCTGTTCCTGGGTAAGGGGAAGTTCACAAAGCATTTAATGGCTTGGAAGAAGATACATTGATAAGGAAATTGTGATGGAATGGAATTATGAAGGCCAAGCTCAGGGAGATAAACATTTTCTTAGCTC